TTTAATTAAGGATGATTTTGTCAAGCAAAACATATTATGTTTAGTAGATCTCCGAGGTATCCAACAGTTCTAGAGAAAGAAGCAGGTCTATGCTTGTCTCTCGCTGCCTGGTGGAAAATCCTGAGCTCTTTCAAACTTATTACGTTGCTTAATAATTCATCCTATGAAAACCCTTAGTGCTAAGTGAGTATTGATGTCTCAATTATCCCTAAGATTAGGGTAATTATCACTCGTAATTCAATTTAAGAATTATGTGGGTGAAGACCCTTAAAGAGACAAGTTTAAGAGACTTAGCCAAATTTTGACTTGGGCTTGTAGTGTTTGAAAGATGTTTTAATGATGTTTACTTTTCTAATCCTTATTTAAATGAAACTTGATTTAGCCTTAGTCACTACTAAGCCCTTAAGACTTTGGTGAGTGTCTTAGTCATTGCAAATGAAATTAACTTATAAGTGATTGTGATGATTCATGTTTTTGTTTTTATTTTTTTTGGTTCATCAAATAGGGGTATTAAATTAGTGAGTTATTAACACCCAAAATCATACCCCTAAATATAGAATCATTTAATCGGCTAGACTCCCAAGTTTATGTAATTTAAGAAAATTGCAAATTTATCCTTTTTAATTTGGACAAGTGATGATGGTTTCTACCAGTTAACCCCTTATGTTTCAAACATCCAAATATGTTAATTAGAATAAAAGATTACCCATTTTCCTTTCTAAAATTAGGCCTAAATGTTAATTAAGGCTAAATTTCCAAAATTACACAATTGCCCCAAAGGCTCTATCACTTCGTAATTCATCAAATTTAATCCAAATGACTTTGGAATTTTTATCCTAACTCAATCATGGGTCAATTGAGACATCAGAGGAGAAAGTGCGATTTTTCAAAATTTAATTTATCTATATAATTATTTTTAATGCAAAAATAGGACTTTTCAAAGAAAATTCCTAACTTGACCAAGGTGAATCCTAATCCCTTAAAATTTTTATTGGAGGTAAGATTAGACCATAGAAGCATTTGGACCAAATTTCATGATTTTTTGAATTTCATTTGAATTTTAAGAATTATTTTAATTTATGGAGTTTTCACTAATTATAAAATATTATAAATGTGGAAAATTAAGTTATATATTTTTATTAAATCTCCCTAATGTCAAGGGATACATAGAAACAAATTTCACATTTTCATCATTTTTTCTTTGAATTATTGGAATTATTTTAGTAAAAAAACCATTTTTAGCCTTTAAAAATTATTTTAAGCTTCAAAATTTAATATCTTTATTTAGAAAATCAGGAAAAATATCCCAATTATTTCTAAGTGCTTAGAAAGTAATTTAAAATATTTTCATATATTTTATTATTTTTGTGATTTTTATCATTTTTTAATTATTTTAAATATTTAAAATAGGCTAAAAATAAAGTTGTTATTTTTACTTCAAATTTATTTTTATAAAATTCCACTCATCACAGAGAACTCCAAAAACCAAGTTTTAAATTTTTTTAAGTTATATTTAATTATTAAAAATCATTTTAGTGCCAAAAATGTTAATTAACTTGAAAAATCAATTTGAGATATTAAATGAACTCCAAATATTTTAAAATTTTTATGGGGAGTTCTCTAGACTTTAAATTTTAGTGGAGATTAAAAAATTAATTCATTTAGATGTTTATGTTACGCAAAATTAATTTTCTTTGTGTTTTAAGGTTGGTGAAGATTAAGTGTATTCTTAATGACTTAACTCGTGAAATTATTTCCAAAGGATCCTCTGGTCATGGTGAACCCTTCAAAATTTTCTTCAAGTTTTCTAATAAATGTGCTAATTATCATAATTAATTTATGCAAATAATAAACATAAACTTGAAAAATATGGATCTCTGTCTAGGGACCTCCTCTGACTTTGAAAAAATCAGAAGATATTCCTTAAAACAGAGGCAACAACATGCTAAAATTTCAATCCATGTTCATATGTATATATGCATGGAGAATCAAAACATTCAAATCAGTGTTTAATTAATTAAAAACAAAATATGCATCACATGGACTTAAAATTATCTCCACATTATTTTCCTATGTTCACTGAGCAAGAGGGTAATTTTATGTTATTTTTATGATTTTTCTACTCCAAGATATGAATTTTTAAAGCTAGGGCTATTTATTTAAATAATAAAATCCCTATTTTTCTATTTAAACGTGTGGCGCTGACTGTATCCTCGGCAACTCTAAAGGCACGTGTGGCGCGCTTTGGTTGGACACCGTCATCCACGTAGCCGTTGACTCAGCCCGCGGTTCATGTAAGGAAGTGATGTCCAGCTCGATCTCCTCCGTCCATCTGATACACGCGCGATCAAATGGCTCCCTGTCATCGTCCCTGATAGAGTGATCCCGTCAACGGCCACACTAAAACCCTAAAATCTCGGCCTAGACTCAACCAAATCACTTTGGGTTTGATCCTATGGAATCGTCTTCTAAGTGAGACGAAGTGAGGCGAACATATCCATATG